CTAGGTATCTTCTTCAGCTCTTCCTCAGTTATCACAAAATAACCCGAAGAATCACTTGGAAAAGGAAAACCATTGGAACTAATTGGATGACCCGCAATATCTGTTGGTATCGGCCTTCCATCACGCGTAATCACTGCTCCAGCTGAATTAGTTGGGAGAAATTCTCCTTCTGAATCTCTTATTGGATACACTGGCTTCCCATTTGAATCAGTTGGCATAGGTTCTCCGTAACGAGTAGAAACTGGGTGGACAAAATATCCTAATTCATTTGTAGAAAGAACTTGACCGTCAGGTCCAACTGGTAGACCATCTTGATTTGTTGGTACAAATTTACCTTGAGCATCAATAAACAAACCACTAGAGTCTGTAGGAATTATATCTCCATGGCGATCAACTACTGGAAAAAGGATGTGAGCTCTGCCATCGGTTGGTAAAACTTCTGATGTACTTTTAACTTGAATTAAAGAAAAACGACCGTATGGATCCACAGGCAAGACAGACCCATCCTCTCCTACAGGTCTTCCGGAATTATCGGTTGGAATGGGCATTCCATCTAATCCAATAACTGCACCAACTTCATCAGTTGGAAGTAATTGACCATCGATGATGACAACTGGATAAACAGGTTTGCCATGAATATCTGTAGGAAGCGGTTGACCATCAGATTCAAGCTGTAAATATCTGTAGTTCCCACTTTCATCAGTAGGAAGAATATTGCCATCAGGCCCAATAGGTATTCCTAATTCATTTGTTGGCACAGGTCGCCCATTAGGATTGAGGAAGTGGCCTTGCATATTTGTTGGCAATAGTTGTCCATCAGGTCCAAATAATGGGATAATAATATGCCCAGTTTCATCTGTTGGCAAAATTCTCGGCTGTTCTTTTTTCTTCATAAATACAAAGCGTCCATGTGAATCTTGAGGCAATGGAGAACCATCATAGCCAACTGGCCGCCCAACTGAATCTGTTGGCAGTGGCAAACCATCTGGCCCTATGACTACTCCAGATAAAGAATCAGTGGGCAGCAAATGGTCGTCAGGACCTATAACTGGATAAACCAACTTGCCGTGAACATCAGTTGTCATGGTCTGACCATTTAGATCGGCAGATGCATGAATAAATATACCAGAATCGTTGGTTGAAAGAATTTTGCCATCTGGTCCGATTGGGCGGCCAGCAGCATTTGTAGCAATAGGTTCTCCTCTTAAATCAACAACTTCACCTGCATCATTCGTTGGAAGTTGCCAACTATATGGTCCAATTACTGCGAACGGTGGTGTGTGCCCTTTTTGTTTTTTAGGTATTTTCTTCATTTTTTCATCCGTTATTATAAAATTGCCGAGAGAATCAGTTGGGAGCGGAAAACCATTGGAACCAATTGGGTGGCCAGATTTTTCTGTTGGAATTGCCCTTCCATCAGGCATAATTCTTGCTCCGGTTGAATCTGTTGGGAAAAATTCTCCTATATTTTTTACTGGCTTGCCATATAAATCAGTTGGCAGAGGTTGTCCATCACGAATTAAAATTGGGTAAAAATGTTGCCCCAATCCATTTGTAGGAAGAACTCGACCATCAGGTCCTATTGGTAAGCCACCTTGATTTGTTGGTACGACTTTCCCTTGAAGGTCAATGAACAAGCCTTTAGAATTAGTTGTAAGAATATGTCCATCTGGACCTCCTAACGATGTTCTGAAGCGATTACCGTCATCTGTTGGCAGAACTCTGATTTTCGAATGCGTATATATGGATCGACCAAAAGGATCTATAGGCAGGGGAGATCCATCCTCTCCAATGGGTTTCCCAAATAAATCAGTTGGAATAGGCAATCCGTCAAGCCCAGTAACTGCTCCAGTTTTGTCGGTTGGAAGCATCTGACCGTCGGGACCTAATATTGGATAAATGGATTTCCCACGACTGTCAGTAGGAAGTGGATGAACATCAGACCAAAATGGCGGATATTTATAATTCCCATTCTCATCCAGTGGAAGAATATCGCCACCAGGTCCGATCGGCAACCCTAATTCATTGGTAGGAACAGGCATACCATTGAGGCCAACAAAAAACCCTTCGGAATCAGTTGGTAATAGCTCTCCATTTAAACCGAATATTGGAACCATGGTATGTCCACTTTCATCCGTGGGCAAATTTTTTGGTTTCTCTTCTTTTTTCATAATAATAAAGCGTCCAAGTGAGTCCATCGGTAATGGAGAACCATCATTGCCAGTTGGTCGTCCAAATGAATCTGTTGGTAAAGGAAATCCATTTGGCCCAAGAATTGCTCCAGTTGAATCGGTTGGTAATAATTGGTCATCTGGACCTATAACTTGATAAATATGCTTGTATCCACCTGGGTAAATATAATTACCAGGTTCATCAGACGAAAGTATTCTGCCATCTGATCCGACTGGCGGACCTGCTGCATCAGTGATTTGGCTATAGCTATCTGTGAGAAATGGCGAACCATCCGGTCCGATAATTGTGAATGGGGTCGTTGTTCGGATTTTTTCCTTGCTTAATATTTTCTCCATCTCTTCTTCATTTATTATAAAATTACCCGAAGAATCACTTGGAAGAGGAAAACCATCGGAACTAATTGGATAACCCGCAATGTCTGTTGGTATCGGCCTTCCGTCACGTGTAATCACTGCTCCAGTTGAATCAGTTGGGAGAAATTTTCCCTCTGAATCCTTTATTGAGTACACTGGTTTTCCATATAAATTAGTTGGCAGAAGTTGATCATCACTAATGAGAGCTGGATAGACAAAATACCCTAATTCATTCGTAGGAAGAACCTGACCGTCAGGTCCAGTTGGTTGGCCATCTTGGTTTGTTGGCACAACTTTGCCTTGAGGATCTATAAATAAACCATTAGAGTCTGTAGGAAATATATGCCCATGCAGATCTGCTACTGGAGTGACGATATGACCTCTGTCATCGGTTGGTAAAATCTTAGGTGTACTTATAACTTGCAAAGAGATGCGACCATATGGATCCATAGGTAAGATAGATCCATCCTCTCCTATAGGTCTTCCGGAATTATCGGTAGGAATGGGCATTCCATCTAATCCAATTGCTGCACCAGCTTCATCAGTTGGAAGCAGTTCACCATCGGCATCGACCACTGGGTAAACAGGTTTGCCATGAATATCTGTTGGAAGCGGTTGACCATCAGATGCGAGTTGTGGGTATCTATAATTTCCATTTTTATCTGTTGGAAGAATATT